GATTGCCACTAATTTTAGCCTGATCTACACCACACGACTGGTTGAAGCAGCCACAAGTCCCCCCCCCCCCCCACACACACACACATGCATACACACACATACACATACTCGGACACACATGCACACATATACACACACACGTACACACATTGACACACATACACACATTGACACATGTACACACACACGTACACACACACACACACACACACACACACACACACACACACACACAAAAGCGACTTTGGCGTGCAAAATCCAGCTTACCTTGTCAAAGCAAAACAGCTTCAGTTTACCACACACATTGATCCTGTTACAGAACACATAAACACACAAGCAGTAGAACAGTGACATCACAACAGGACGGTCTCAAGCAAAGCAGGAGGCGTTGTTGATGTGTGCCCTACCGCAGTGCCGTCATCGCACTTGCTGTGGGTGCGAGAGCGCGCGTGTGCGTGTATGTGCGTGCGACAGCGGGTGTGTGGGGGTGCGTGTGTGTGTGTGCCAAACACCACCGTACTCACTCGATTAGAAGCCCCCTCTTGAATAAGACACCACACTACTCTTCATGTATGGAGCGAATGGTAGACAGTACGTATGCAAACGCTGTACATGTGAACAGGTTTTAGATGAAGTATTTGCACGGTAACTGTAAACATTCTCGATTCGCAGAACCCTGCACGAAGTACGAGTGCCAACCACAAATAGTTATGGCCACTTCTGGGTGAATGGAACGGAGCACACACTGACTGTGGCAATGTTAACAAAATGCAAAACGCCCAGCAAAGCTGAAGGCCCGAAAAGATGACCACTCACCTCGGTGGACTGATGCAGAAGATGTTTTTCTTTTTCAGCCGTCGCTGCGCTGCTACCATTCCGATTGTCATGGCTGCTGGCAGAGCAGGCGGAACTGCGATCGTCACAATGTCCAGTGCTCGCAGGATGGCTGCTTCAGTATCCACCTGTGTTGCATGTGATACAGGAGCACACAGTGCAGGCAGTATGAGCGGCGTGTACAAGGGCGGGTTGGAAACGGCATGCCACTAGGCATGCATAAAATAATACCCAAGCTGCCAGTCAACGTCAGCTTTTAACATACACACAGCCCAATCTCGTTGCCATTCCACAGCAGAATGCCCATACATACAATACACTCGATACTGTATACATATATGTAGTCTGTGTACGTTTCATCCCCATTTTACCGCCAATCTGTTGATTAACATTGTTGTGCTTCGTCACATTATCACCATGTACTGATTCAAAAAGCTAATGCCACAGTTGTTACTCTCAAGTCAAGTGCGTGCGTCTATTGATGACACAAGTAGATGTACACAGCCAAGCCGCGGGAGTCTAGAAGAGACCTGACCACGATGCACAGCACAATGCTCTTTACAAACAGACAGTCTTTCTGCACAGGTGGCACTCTGTGTGCATGCAGCCGTGCATGTGCATGCATGCATACTATGGTCTAAGGACCAAAGCAAGATTCACAATACCAATTTCTGCGATGCGAAACTCAGTATGCGACGCGCTGCAACCGCGGCACGCTATTCACAATCCTTTCGGTTTCTGTTTCAGGCATTGCATAAGACATGCAAGTATGCCCAGCGCAGAAAACTGCACTCCACTGATGTGTTTCGCGCCTTGCAAAAGTTGAATTATGGTCAACTTCTGCGACAGCGGCCTTGCAGCTGCAGTCGACATGCATTTCATTGTTGCAAGGATTGGACGTCGCACTTAGCATCGCAGAAGAAAGTTATTGTGAACGGTGTTTGGGCTGCTTGGTCTTCATCGAGTGGCAGGTGGTATAATGCAGTGGCAGGTGTTCTAACACTAGTCTAATGCAGTGGTAGCGAATCACAGGTCTTACAGCACAACAGTGGCGCATTGTTTAGCCATTAGCAGCACTACACTGGCACAAGAAGCAGCCAGAGCTAGTAATGACTATACAGTATAGCTGGATAGCAGAGTGATAGCATAGTGAAAGGAGAATAACTTACGCCAAACCGGAAAAGGGTGACGAAGCTGTAAATCATGCCCAGCACAGCTACATAGACACACACACACAAGCAGACACACACACAAGCAGACACACACACACACACACACACACACACACACACAAGCAGACACACATGCAGACACACGCATATACAGACACACACCGATACACATACGTCCTTACATACGGAGAGAGAGAGAGAGAGAGAGAGAGAGAGAGAGAGAGAGAGAGAGAGAGAGAGAGAGAGAGAGAGAGAGAGAGTGAGAGTGAGAGTGAGAGAGCGAGAGAGCGAGAGAGAGAGAGAGAGAGAGAGAGAGAGAGAGAGAGAGAGAGAGAGAGAGAGAGAGAGAGAGAGAGAGAGAGAGAGAGAGAGAGAGAGAGAGTCTGTATACATTAACTGTGTAAAAGACTCCAGTAGCAGGAGCAGCACTGGTGACACTCACCTAGAATGGCGAGAACACCGACAAAGCGCAGGGCATCACGGAAGAACTGGAAACCAACAGGCTTGGGGAACAGAATGGAGCGGACCAGACTACCCTTGGCAGTGGTAAAACCTAAGCAGCACCATACAAAAACAAAGCAACGACCATGATTATACCGTGCTGTCCTGCGTAAAAGCCTGTTTTGAATACAAGCCTTGTTTGAAAGATGTAACTATGGTGCATAAGCCTGGTGAAGGTGTTGACATACTTCATGCCAACTACTAGAAATATCAGGATTGAATACACGCCTTCTCCACACAGTGGTCTCTACAGGAACCAGCCCAGCTATAGTACACACCTTTACTCAGGTGGGTAAGGAGCAGTGTTTATCATTAATTTAATCCAAACTCCCCGCCATATGTACGTGGCAGCCGACCTTCACCACACTGAAGAGGTCATACGGAGAGCACATGTGGTGCGGAGTCTGAGATTAAGTCAACAGTATACGGCCATTCTATTTCTTGGCAGTACATTATGAACAAGGGCATCGAGTGCATTTGATTTTTGAAGGCAGACATCATTCACATGATTGTTCATATTTTGCAGGGAGGGGGCCTAGCCAGACAGATCAATGGTCTTTTAACAGGGCAACAGATGTCCTTCAACATTCATTCCAGTTGAGGCGGAGCAGCAATGACGAGGCATCGGCACAACATACAACCCATGCACAGCATCCGAAGTGCTCCTCCTGCTGCTGAGCAGTGCTTCTGTTGGCAATGTGAGTGATGCAGCACAACGTACATGTAGCCTGTACTTACCTGTGCGTATGACAATGGCCAGGGCGAAGTCACGGTCAAACGTGCGTGTCTGTATCACCTTGGTTCCGCAGAAGAGCGTGTGCCGCTTGTGCCGTGACGGACAGTACTGGTTGGAAGGATGCGTGGCTGGATCGTGCGGCGAGGGCAGGTCGGGAAGCGGCATCTTGGTCACCGGCACACTCTCGCCTGAAGCAATGCACGCGCACGCACACCCGTACGCGTACACAAGAACCACTGACTGTGAGTTTTGCAGGGACACAACCAGTCGTGTGCGCTGACCAGCCATTACTACTACTGCACGACCACATATTTTAACGTCAATTAAAGTTAGCCATCTCTGAATACTTGTTGGTTTATAGCGAGGTGAAATGTTAACGGATCCTGGCTGTCAAAGCCTGTGAATGACAGTACAGTCATGTATATCGTTTCGCACATAACGACTTCAAAATTTAACGAATTTGAACTAGGATCAAGTGTTCTCTAACATTAGTGGTCCTACAGTACTACCACTACTACCAAGAGTAGATCAGCTCCCAAGAGTGTGCAACTCCTGACACCCTTTCTATGGGGTTCACCGACGGCGTGGCTAACAGGCCGAAGGAAGGCAGCGGCAACATCGGTGCTGCTGCTTCAGAAGTCGTGTGCCGCAGCACGGACGGGCTCTCGCCAGACCAGTGCAAGTGCAACACTGCCATCATCATTAGCAACATAACACACACACACACACACACACACACACACACACACACGCGCGCGCTCTCTCTCTACATCTGTTTGACCAGGACCCGAGCAAATCAGGACTGCGCCACGAATCAAAAAGGAAATTGAGAAAAAGGAAATGGACATCTGCTTGGAGCGCTGCTGCTGCTGCTGCTGCTGCTCTCGCTGCCATGTCAATACTACTACTTGTACTACCACCACCACCATCTCCACCACCACCACCACCGCCATGAGCACCACCACCACCGTCATCATCACCATCATGGAGACCATCATCAAGACCAGGACAGGACCGCATCTCCATTCACATCGTCGCTGTGATCATCGCTGACTGCTATACAGCAAGTTCACAACCACTCGTGTTTGCCTTTGCTCTACTGGCTCCTGGGCCTGCGACTTGCATATACTCTGCATCAGTCTCCCTCCCTCAGCATGGGGTGTGCCACATAGCTACTGCTGGGATTCCAATCATACTGAACTTCTACCATCGACGTAACACACTGCCTCAACAATCACCACATGCATAATGCATGTTATCATGTGACATTCAGACAGTGTACACTGAGCATATTCGTGCACAGCGGGTTGATAAAAAATATAAAAAATAGCAAAGTGACAGCTGCTTGCTTCTGCAGTGGCTCACAGCGGCACGGATTCTTCTTCTTCTTCTCATCTTCTTCTTTTGCCTCTGGGGTGCTCTTCAGTCTCTCTCCCTCTTACTTTTACTGCACTTCCTCTCAAATTCTTTCTTGGGCACAGCTCTCCATCACAACTTAGCAACTTAGCAACTGTTGTAATATTAAATCACCAAGAACATTTCCTTCACGTTTCACAGCACAACGGTTGGAGAGAAAACGAGACAAGACGGCTAACTACCAAAGCTCATTACCTCTGACTTCAACGCACAAGCACGAGAAAGAGAACAGACTTCTACGCATACACGTGGTGCGGTGCATCAGACAAGCCAGCGTACCACTCCGGCGCACCACAATGCGTGGCTAGCCGAGGGTGGCCAACTGGCGATATCATCATGTGCACGTGCACAGACAGGCATATCACGTGCACAGACGGGCATATCACGTGCACATATGGGCATAGCACGTGCACAGACGGGCATATCACGTGCACCGACATGCACTGACGGGTATATCTCATGCACAGACGGGCATACCTCATGCACAGACGGGCTCTCACGCACATACATGCGTATCACGTGCACAGATGGGCATAGCACGTGTACAGAAGGCCATATCTCATGCACAACTCTCAAGCTGGCTGCCCCAATAGCTACCGGTAGGATGCTAGAAAAAAACACACGTCCACACATCTGCAGCTGCCAACCGACTGGGTCTGTTTTGCACACTGCGACTTCTGATTTCCCGTATTTTGCAGTGTTTTGCGTACTGACAATGTACTGCCGTGTGCATTGCTTGTACAGGTCCTCCCTCGTTATAACGAGTCCGGTTAGTACATAAACCCCGTTAGTAAATAGAAATCTGAAATCCCCTGGCGAAACGTGGTCTATACAACTGTTTACAGGTCCGGTTACAACATAATCCGTTAGTACATAAAATCCGTTATAACGACCCTTTGCCCAGGTCCCTGGAGTGCCAAACCCTCAGTATAAGATAATATTGACCATGCAGGACCAAGGCCAAAACACATAGGATAAAGCAGAAAGAGGAAACGTATTATGTCTATGTATTCGTGAATATGGACGATCCTGTGCATCCAAGGAAGAGTTATGTTGGAGATTTTCAATTATCTTATAACGAGTTGAAGCATCGAAAATTTATGTTGTATCGAGGGTAGCCCCGGTAAGTACGAAGTAGTGCCTACTTTACCTTTAGCTGCAAGTCCTGCTACAAGATAAGTCTCGTTATAAGATAACTTTTTCGATGGCCCAGAGATTATCTACTAACGAGGGAGGACCTGTATTGTGTTGTTTTTTCACACTCACAGAAAAAATTGGCAGCTGGATTTGCTAGTGCAAAACACGTGTGACCATTTTTTTGTGCGACATGAAGTCGAAGCACGGTATGCACTCGCTTTGGCACAGGGATATTCATCGCTCAGCTTGCGCTTGCCATGCTCCTACGTACATATAGCTGATGGATCCTCTTCTATTGTGCGTAGAATTTTTGCTCAAATTCTGTAGTGCAGACGAAGGAGGGATTTACCGTACAAATACGGAAAAAAAGTGAAAGGCTGGCAGTGACGCACACGTACGGGGGTACGATAGCATGCAGACACACACGCCATATTAAACAGCGTGCTTGCAGAAAAGGATGTACAGCACATGCAGGATATGCAGGATATGCAGGACATGTAGGACATGCAGGGAGTGGTGGTGGCAGTGGCAACTTACCAGTCAACATGCTCTCGTTCACAACGCAGGCGCCAGAGAGCAGAGCAGCGTCGCAAGGCAACTCCAGGCCGCGTGACGATATGACGAGAATGTCGCCTGGCACCAGCTCCAGAGAGGATACCTCCTTGACATCTGCACACACACACACACACACGCACGCACGCACGCAAACACGCACGCACGCAAACACACACACACACAAACATACCACACACAAACACACACACACAGACATACACACACACACACACACACACACACAAACATACCACACACAAACATAACACACACACACACACACGCACGCACGCACACACACACGTTGAAAACCAGCAGAATGATGAACATTGTCAACCTATTCTTTCCTGACCTCGGGAGGAGGAGGAGATATCCTCTCCTTCTCCACAATCCATATCATACGGTACTTGATCTCCATTATGGTGCTTGGGCTCCATAACTATGACATGAAGCTCGCAAGGTGTGGTATGTTCTATTTCAACAAGGCAATCCCACCGGGTCTGAGCCTGGGCGTACGGGATATTCCAGGTAGGACAGAGGACATAGAAAGAGCAGGGGCAGATTTTGAGAAGACAGACAGTTGCATGTACTTGGTTATCTAAGTGATTGCCAGGGGATAGTGTTAGGCAGGTAACACCACACCACAACTCTGAACTGCAGTCAACTCAGGTGTGTCGCATGTAAGCACATGATACAGGGCCAGTGTAGGCTCACCTTCGCCGCAGCGCATCACTTTGACGGTGGACGGCTTGGCCACCATGTCGCGCAGGTTGGTCAAATGCTGGGCACCCACAAAACAACACACAGTCACACACATGCACCCGCAAACACGCACACACACACAAACCAACACCAGCAACACATACATCAGGACGTTGGACTCAAACACCCCCCCCCCCCCCCACACACACACATCTCTCCAGCTAGAATCCATATACTGTAAAGTGTGAAATTTTCGCGGCGTTTTAGTTCGCGTTTCAGAATCCGGACAGGTTTCCGAGGTTTTAATTTTGCGATTGCAGAATTTGCTACCGTGGCATTCATGCTAAACCTTTATGGATCTCCTTTTCGCGCTGTCTAAATTTCGCGATTTCCATGCGGTCGCGAATTTCGCAGAAATTAGACCATGGCAACAATTTCACGGTTTAC